CTGTGACATTTCTGTCAGAAGCATGCTTGTTTTTCATACCAGTTAAGCTGTCAGATTAAAACTGATGGGCCATTTCCTCATTCTTCAGCCCATATTCCTTTGCTACTTTATGCATTCATTTCATCCAGGAGCACTCTGCCAGCAAACAAAACTGTCAGGGGAGGAGGGGAAGAGCGAAGGTGTAAGAATAATAAAAAAGAGAACATTTTACACTGAGCTAACTCTACCCATTGCCTTTTGCTTTTTGGATGGATTGGGAGAGATGTGACCGATTTGACCCGGTCTGCTCTGCCCCACTCTCAGACCTTTGCCATTTGCGAAACTCCACTCCATCCTTAGTCCTGATTCCTTACATCCTTTTCTTGGCCTAAGCACCATTTCCCCCAAAATAAGGTCCCAAAGAGAAAGGGGAATGGATGCAGTGGCCACTGGGGTTATGGTGTGAGCTCTTGGCCTGAGTTTTGTCCTTTAATCCTCCCAGTGTCCCCAAAAGGTCAGTGGTGTTGGCTGTCCCTGTGTTCCAGAGGAGGAAACAAAGAGGGGCGATCCCTGCCCAGGACATAGGGCCAGGGAGAGTGCAATTCACCCAAAGGTCGCAATTTTGACCACCATGCACTGCAATTTTGACCACCATGCACTATGGCGGGTTGACCAATACCACAGGCCCTGGGGCTTCGCTGTTAGGGACTGAGGAGAGGGGATTGTTAACACCCAACTCCCCTCACCCAAGCCTGCAGCCCTTCATTCCCGACAGCATGGCTGAGACTCCCGCCTGTTATCTCTTAGATTAGCCCCCAGCTATTTTTATTCTGCCCTTGCTTAGGGAAGAAATACAGATTGGGCAAACCCTCAGGCCAGGCCCCAGGGGAGACCGCCATTCACCAAAGAAGAAAATAGAGCTTATTTTACATTTTACTATCTTTTTTAAAAAAATCTTTTTTCCTTAGAATCATCTTCAAATTGAGTCACCCTGTTAGATCCCCTCCAGCAGGGCCTTTTGGGCCCCTTAAACTCACCCACACAGTGGTGGAGGCAGGACTTGTACCTGTTGAATGAAGGAAGTCCTATCTCCTGGGCTGGAGGCAAGAGGAGTCAAGGGGAGGAGCTTGGTGGAGGGAAAAGGAACCCAGGAAGGGGAAATGAGAGGATGTCAGGGAACATAGAGAAGGGAGAGGTCAGGGATGAGCTGAGGTGGAGTGACCTCGGGGACATCTGAATGGAGATGACAGTGGGGGTCCAGAGCTCACCTGAGTGGAGATAAAACTTTGGGTTTTTTTTTTTCTATTTTTGAATTTTATCTTTTTATTAAAATTTTTTTAAATTTATTTTATTGAAGTATAGTTGATTTAGGATGTGTTAATTTCTGCTGTTATACATATATATTCTTTTCTATTATGGTTTATTACAGGATATTAAATATAGTTCCTGTGTAATGCTATTTTTTAAATGTTTTTAAATTTATTTTATTGAAGTTGAGTTGATTTAACAGTGTTAATTTCTGCTGTACAAAAAGTAATTCAGTTATACATATATATACATATTCTTTTTCATGTTCTAACTTTGAAACTATTGATGATGGTCCTTTAGATGATGGTGACAGCTCTGGGGACATGGATGGATCAGCTTGCCTTTGAGAGTATGTAGAGCTGGGGAGGGAAGAAGATCACTGGCCATCGATGACTGAACTCATGATCGATAGACTGAATCTCCATCCCCTTTCCCCTCCCTGGAGGTTGGGAGGTAGGACTGTAAGTTCCAATCCACTAATCATGTGGTTGATTCCCCTGGCAACCAACCCCCATCCTCTGTGCTTTCCAAAATTCTCCTCCTGAACATAACAAAGGACAAATCTATCACTCCTTTATCGTAGGAAATTCCAATGGTTTTAGGACCTCTGTGCCAGGAACACAACGAAGAGCAAATATATATTTCTTATTATGAATCACAATATCACAGACGCTCCCACCATAGTCCTTTGCTCTAGCTGGTCCCTGTGTGGAACCCTATTCCCTCCGCCGTCCACTCTGCTCAAATCTTGCCTGTCAATGTGGCCAACTGTGACCTCCCAACTTAACACTGGAAACCTGCCCTCCCCCCATTCCAAATCTTCATTAGCTGGGACCACATTTCCCCAAACACTTATTTTCTAACATAATGAATGGCTTATTTAGTATGTTAATTTTTTAATTGAAGTATTTTCAAGTATTATTGATTAATAATAGTAGTTTCATGTAACAGCATTGTGATTCAGTATTTTTGCAGATTATACTCCATTTTAAGTTATTACAAGATAATGGCTATAATTTTCTGTGCTATACAATATATCCTGTTGTTTATCTATTTTACACATAGTAGTCTGTATCTGTTAATCCCATACCCCTAATTTGTCCCTCCTCCCTTCCCACTCCACTTTGGTAACCACAAGTTTGTTTTCTAGGCCATTAATTATCATCTACCCACCCTCCCCCCACGTACTACAAGTTCCAAGACAGCAGGGAATCTTTGTGTTGCTCACTGAGTATCCCTAAAATAGTGCCTGGCACAAAGTAGGTGTTCAGTAAATACTTGAATGAATGACCCCTTGAAGACTGTTCTAATACTTTTAATTCCTTGACTGTCGGCTAAGCAAAATGGAGAATATAAGCTTGCCTTACTGCTTAACAGTGAAAATTAAGGTGATTCATGAAATGTCTTCCAAAAACTATACAGGCAAACTTTGTACATTTGCATGTTTTTAAAATATCTTGTATCTTTTAAAAAAGAAAAAAATCCATGAGAACATTTCATGCGGACGGATGGAAATAGTCTACACATAGCAAGATCACAGAGCAAATGTGAGTACTGCCCCCTCCTGGTTGAACATGGAGGTGTGGCTTTCTGCACCACCAGCCCCACTGGGGATGACTTATGAACCTGGTGGGGTTGCAAGATATGCTATCGATGACATTTCAAAATGGGTCACATTCAACCCTATTTTCAGACGGAGGCAAGGAAAAGAGGAATAAAGTGTCAAAAGGAGAATTTCTAGGGAGTACAGAGCCCACACATTTCCATATTGTGAGGAGGATGTTGACAATTAGTGGAAAGTAGTAAAGAAAAATGTTAAGCAAGAAAATCCTAACATGATCACATCCATCTGCTGCACTTACAGCTGGAATCTGAGTGGGAATTTCCCATCTGTGCTTTAGTCTCAGCTTTAATTTGACTATAAATAAGACACACACATGCACAACTTGCACTGAGTGTCTTTTGGGGCCAGAAGTTGTTTAAAGATGAGATATATATATATATATATATAAACTGTATATACTTTAACTCAGAACCTACTCATTAAACTAGTCAGTCTGAGGTGTGCAGCCAGACTCTTCTAACTTGGTCCCAGGACGATGTGACAGACACTTCATAACTGAGGCCTTAACTGTTGACATCCTCTGCTCAAACAGATCTAAACAGAACTTCTGATGCCCAGGCCAGCTTTCCCTGGAGAACCTGGCTTCAGGTTTGCTGTTTGCTTCAGGAAAACTTGGAGCCCAGAGGCCTGAAGGTGGCTGGATTTGGGAAGCCCGTGGCTCAGTCAGACAGAAGCTGCACTTGCTACTTTACATTCTTGTGTGATTCTCAAATGGACCCTACAAGCATCTATATGGACTATCACCCCCACTTTACAGGGGGGGAAGTTGAGGCTTAGTGACATAAGGTAACTTGCTCAGGGTCAGGTAGTTCCTTAGTGGTAGAGCCAAGACTCAAAACCAAGTCTTTGAAGCAAGGTTCAAATCCACATGTTCTTTCCACTTTCCCCTCTGCCCCCACATTACCCTCCCAGGGCTTCTGGGGCTATAAATAGTGGGGGAGGCTGGGATTTTGTGTGCGAGGTCAGCCAGGCCTTTAGCACAAGGAGACACTAACATCTCCCAGCCTGGCCTAGCCTAGGCCCTGCTATCCCCCAGGCCTCAACAGAACTCAGGCCCAGACAGGCCCCAGCTTATCACCAGCTTCACTCTCTTGGTTATATTTAGCTCTGGACCTCAAAGAGAAAGGTGTGGGCCAGCCCCTGAGACAGTGCACACGCCCAGGCCAGGCCAGGCCACTGTGCGTGGAAAGAGGGTGTCTGCCTCATCCTCTTCAGACCCTGGTGTGAGCCTCCTCCGGGGCGGCTGGGTGCACCCTCCTTCCTGAGTCTGCGGGATCTTGTTAGTCTTGCTCCTTGAGGGAGGGACCACGGCAGTGTCTGTAACACCCTGCATGTGGCTGTTGATTAATCACTCTTTGCTGAGTGAACAAATCAGTGGTCCAAATTCATGTTCTAGAAATCTGGACATCAAGACAGGCACACGAATTCCCAGAGGGATACCTTAGAAAACCGGATGCATTTCATGCTGTTAAATAGTCAACCTGGGACTTCCCTGGTGGTGCAGTGGTTAAGAATCTGCCTGCCAATATAGGGGACAGGGGTTCGAGCCCTGGTCCGGGAAGATTCCACATGCCGCAGAGCAACTAAGCCCGCGTGCCACAACTACTGAGCCTGTGCTCTAGAGCCCTAGAGCCACAACTACTGAAGTCGCATGCCTAGAGCCTGTAATCCGCAACGAGAGAAGCCACCGCAATGAAGAGTAGCGCCCACTCGCCACAACTAGAGAAAGACCACGTGCAGCAATGAAGACCCAACACAGCCAAAAATAAATAAATACATTTTTTTAAATAAAAAAAATTTTTAGTCAACTTTATTCAAGGAATGGACGTGAGTTTCCATCCTCCTCTTTCTCCCCCTTTTCTCTTCCCTCCTCCAGATCTGGCATTAAGGCTGCAGTGGGGGAGGGGGACCCAAGAGGGACATTAAATCCTGGAGGCCGGCCTGAGTGCCTCAAGTGGCAGCCACCCACAGTGTGGGACAGCTCTTGGAGTCCCTTTGTCTCTGCAGGTGTCCCGATGACAGGCCTCCCTCCCCTTGTTCTGTTCGCCCCTTACACGCCAGCCACCTGCAGAAGCTCCGGGAGGCGGGGCTGTGTCTCCATCGGACCTGCTGAGCGACTGGAGCAGACTCAGGGGGCGTGGATCAGTCTGGTGGCCAGGGCCGGAGCTCAGGAGTGTGGCTGGATCGTGACACTGGAACTCAAAGGGAAAAAGCTGGCAGCTCTCAGATCTTACAAAAACGGAAAGAGCCGCTTTTTCACAATATAGAGAACCGTAGCAAGAAAGAGGGCGAGCGCAAGGAAAATGAGAAGCTTGTCAGTCAGCTCTCGGCGATTATATTTTGTGATGAGCTTCCGTCCCAACTGGATGGTCCCTGACATGGACTTGAATTCTTCATTTGCATCCAGGATAGTCCGTGAAGAATTAACTGAAACAAAAGAGGGAGGGAGCCTGACTAAGAAACTGTACAACACTGAATCCAAAGACTCTGCTCTACCAGCTGGGTTCCCAGTAATTAACACTGTGCTCGGAAGCAAGTTCCTCTGAGCCAGGGCAAAGGATGTGAACAGACGCAACGCAGAGGAGCACAGAACAAGGACAGGGCAAGGAGAGGCACTTTCCTGGGTCCCATCCAGCTCAGGGAAGGATGAGGTTTGTTTACATACAGTCACAGGGCCATAACTAGGAGTCCTCCCAACATGAACATAACCAGGGAAAAGGGCAGAGGACGGTTCCTTTCCTCACCACCAATCTCCGCTTTCTGGAGGAGGCAGGCGCTGCTGAGAAGAACCCCCGGCCGCAAAACTAACGCGGGTGACCGTGGACAGGCACTGTGAGGTCTCTGTGGGGGCAGGGCTGGGGGCAGGACTTGCCGCCTGTGAGGTGCACCCGCTGGGACGCCTGGTGGTCAGATCTGCTCTTTGTGGGATCGTGAAGGGGCAGGGATGCCCTGGGCCCTGCCACATGCCCTCACACACGCCAGTCCTGCAGTCCTGGGACACTGGCTGTAGCTTTAAACACGTGACGCCTGTGCTCCAGCCCCTCTGTGAAACCTACAAGGAGGCACGTGTCCCTTAAGGCTCGTTGTGCCCACATGTCAAACTAACTGGAGTGTGGGTTTCTGGACCTGACACTTGAGGAAGAAGGTTTCCCTGGCAAGATTCCTCTACAAAGCATAACAGGGCATCATCAGAACATCCACAGAATGAAACATGTTGTCAGGTGAGAAGGTGAGGCATGAAGGACAACATGTGAAATGTTTCCATTTCTGTAAGAAAGAAGGGGATAGGTAACATTTAATTTGCTTGTACTCTGCATGCTGGAGGGTCTCAGAAGGCTATGAAAGAAACTGGTAACAGTGCGCCCCTCTGGCAGCAGACCTGGAGATCAGGGGCAGTGGGAGGTCAGAAGGGAGATCAGTCTTTCTGTTTCCCTCCTGTACTGTCCAGGGCTGTGCAGCCCGGAATGACAGCCACTAGACACATGTGACACCTGAGTGTGTAAAATGTGTCCAATCCAAATATCCATGTCTCTGTGGGTAAAATACCTACACGATTTCAGAGCTCTGGTGTGGAAAGAAAAAAAAGGAATGTCAAATATCTCAATAATTTTCACTATGAATTGCATATTGAAATGGTTAAGTATGTGATTACAATTTATTTTATATGTTTCTTTTTACTTTTTTTAATGTGTCTAACGAAAAACTTGAAGTGAAGGTATGTGGCTCCCATTATGTTTCCATGGGACAGTGCTGGCCTGGAGGTTTTTTCCTTAACCACGTAATTCATATTACCTTTTCAAAAAATTACAAGTTAATTAACAAATAAAAGAAATTACCAGAGGAAACAGAGTAGCGTTTTGAAAAACACAGATTAGAGAAGAGCTAAAACCGATCCTCCTCAAACTCTTCCAAAAATTGCAGAGGGAGAAACACTCACAAATTCATTCTACGAAGCCACCATCACCCTGATAACAAAACCAGAAAAAGATATCACAAAAAAGAAAGTTATAGACCGATATCACTGATAAACATAGATACAAAACTCCTGAACAAAATACTAGCAAACAGAATCCAACAGCACATTAAAAGGATCATACACCATGATCAAGTGGGATTTATCCCAGGGATGCAAAGATTCTTCAATATTTGCAAATCAATCAATGTGATACACCTCACTAACAAATTAAGGAATAAAAACCATATGATCATCTCAAGAGATGCAGAAAAAGCTTCTGACAAAATTCAACACCCATTTATGATAAAAACTCTCCAGAAAATGGGCACAGAGGGATCTACCTCAACATAATAAAGGCCATATATGACAAATCCACAGCAAGCATCATACTCAGTGGTGAAAAACTGAAAGCATTTCCTCTAAGATCAGGAACAAGACAAGGATGTCCACTCTCACCACTCTTATTCAACATAGTTTCGGAAGTCCTAGCCACAGCAATCAGAGAAGAAAAAGAAATGAAAGGAATCCAAATCAGAAAAGAAGAAGTAAAACTGTCGCTGTTTGAGGATGACATGGTACTATACATAGAAAATCCTAAAGATGTCACCAGAAAACTACTAGAACTAATCAATGACTTTGGTAAGGTTGCAGGATACAAAATTAATGCACAGAAATCTCTGGCATTCCTATACACCAACAACGAAAAATCAGAAAGAGAAATTAAGGAAACACTTGCATTTACCACTGCAACAAAAAGAATAGAATACCTAGGAATAAACCTGCCTAAAGAGGTGGAAGACTTGTACTCAGAAAACTATAAAACACTGATGAAAGAAATCAAAGATGACATAAACAGATGGAGAAATATACCATGTTCTTGGATTGGAAGAATCAATATTGTGAAAATGACTATACTGCCCAAAGCAATCTACAGATTCAATGCAATCCCTATCAAACTACCAATGACATTCTTCACAGAATTAGAACAAAAAATTTTACAATTTGTATGGAAACACAAAAGACCCCGAATAGCCAAAGCAATCTTGAGAAAGAAAAATGGAGTTGGAGGAATCAGGCTCCCTGACTTCAAACTATACCACAAAGCTACAGTAATCAAGACAGTATGGTACTGGTACAAAAACAGAAATATAGATCAATGGTACAGGATAGAATGCCCAGAGATAAACCCACACACATATGGGCATGTAATTTACGACAAAGGAGGCAAGAACGTACAATGGAGAAAAGACAGCCTCTTCAATTAAGTGGCGCTGGGGAAACTGGACAGCTACATGTAAAAGAATGAAATTAGAACACTCCCTAACACCATACACAAAAATAAACTCCAAATGGATTAAAGACTTAAATGTAAGACCAGACACTATAAAGCTCTTAGAGAAAAACACAGGAAAAACACTCTTTGACATAAACCACAGCAAGATCTTTTTTGACCCACCTCTTAGAGTAACGGAAATAAAAACAAAGATAAACAAATGGGACTTAATTAAACTTCAAAGCTTTTGCACAGCAAAGGAAACCATAAACAAGACAACATTCAGAATGGGAGAAAATATTTGCAAATGAAACAACAAAGGATTTATCACCAAAATATACAAACAGCTCATGGGGCTCAATATCAAAAAAACAAACAATCCAGTTAGAAAATGGGTGGAAGACCTAAATAGACATTTCACCAAGGAAAACATACAGATGGCCAAGAAGCACATGAAAAGATGCTCAACATCACTAATTATTAGAGAAATGCAACTCAAAACTACAATGGGGTGTCACCTCACGTCGGTCAGAATGGCCATTATCAAAAAATCTAGAAACAATAAATGCTGGAAAGGGGGTTGTGAAAAGGGAACCCTCCTGCACTGTTGGTGGGAATGTAAATTGATATAACCACTATGGAGAACAGTATGGAGGTTCCTTAAAAAACTAAATATAGAACTACCTTATGACCCAGCAATCCCACTACTGGGCATATACCCTGAGAGAACCATAATTCAAAAAGAGTCACGTACCACAGTGTTCATCGCAGCACTATTTACAAGAGCCAGGACATGGAAGCAACCTAAGTGTCCATCGACAGAGGAATGGATAAAGTAGATGTGGCACATATATACAATGGAATATTACTCAGCCATAAAAGGAAACAAAATTGAGTTATCTGTAGTGAGGTGCATGGAGCTAGAGTCTGTCATACAGAGTGAAGTCAGAAGGAGAAAAACAAATACCGTATGCTAACGCATACATATGGAATCAAAAAAAACAACAACAACTGGTACTGATGAACCTAGTTGCAGGGCAGGAATAAAGAGGTAAACATAGAGAATGGACTTGAGGACATGGGGTGGGAGGGGGAAGCTGGGGTGAAGTGAGAGTAGCATCAACATATATACACTACCGAATGCAAAATAGCGGGCTGGTGGGAAGCAGCTGCACAGCACAGGGAGGTCAGCTCAGTGCTCTGCGATGACCTGGAGGGGTGGGATAGGGAGGATGGGAGAGAGGCTCAAGAGAGAGGGGATATGGGGACATGTGTATGCATATGGCTGATTTGCTTTGTTGTACAACAGAAACTAACACAGTATTGTGAAGCAATTATACTCCAATAAAGATCCATTAAAAAAAAAATACAGAGAAGGGGTAAAAACAAACACTCATGTAACAAAAATCCCTCTCAGCCCTCTTTCTCCATGCCTGCTGCCATTTTGAAAACCTAAGTAAGAACCTGTTAAGTAAAAACCTAATAGGCCTTTCTTTTTTAAACTTTCTTTACAGAGAATTTTAACCATCACAAAAGTAGATAGAATAATATCATGAAGTGCCAGAATAATATCATGAAGTGCCATGTGTCATCACCCATACACATGAACCACCAACTCCCTGGCAGTCCTGTCCCCTCATGACCCCCATTCAATTCCCCCCACCTATAATTTTACAGCAAATACCAGACATCATATCCTTAATGGGCTTTTTTTTTTTTTTTTTTTTTTTTTTTTCTTTCTTCTCCCTGTTGTGGCCTCTCCCGTTGCAGAGCACAGGCTCCGGACGGACAGGCCCAGC